TATATATATATAAAATGTCACAAACAAACTGTATTTTATCTTCTTAAAAGCACCAATTCTGTGACCTGATTCGACATAGTGTTGTTCTCAGAAAGCGGAATCTATTTAAGCCAATTTCTTATATTCAGCTGAACTTATTTAGTGTCTCCATATGGTACAAAATCAAGCTGGTTAGCCAGTTATTCAGTCCAATAATTTAAAATGATCAAAATTAGATTTGCTTTTAAAAATCCACATGACGTGATATAATGCACTTTAAGTCTTTTGAAGTAGCAGCTCACGCACCGTTCAACGTGAAATTGTCTTTCACGCTTAATTTGTCTCACAAATTGTCTCAAGTCTGTCTCACGCAGCCCTCACAGTTTTCTGTGTTTTCACCTGAAGGTGAAAGCAATTTAACGAGTTTCTCAATATGTGCGTGTGAGGTGCTGATATGATTTTTTTCCTCATGCATTTGTCTTTGCAGAAAGTGTACAAGAGTAACTGGGAGAAGCAGAGGGAAAAGGGCTTTGAGCTCCGTTTGGACTCCCTATCTATACTCACAGCAAGAGCCAAGAGAGACCTGGCTAGTGATGTGAGTTTCTATTCTCTTTTACTCTGAAATTTGCAATAACCTTAGGTTAGGTTGAGTTGCAGCATTTTGAAATCATTGGATTCTTTAAGAAGTAGCATTTAGCATCTTGAACCATTTATTTCTTGTCTTTTTGCAGGTGAAATACAAAGAGACGTATGAGAAAAACAAAGGCAAGATGATTGGCATTAAAGCAGTCAGTGAGGATTCTCAGATGGCTCACTCCACTCTGGCCACCAAACTACAGAGTGATCGCCACTACAAAAAGAACTACGAGGACACTAAGACCAAATACAGGTGAGGCCAAGCTTAGTTCTTTACACCCAGATGCATCTGGTACTAGAGATAAAGTAAAGGGAGTCATTTATAGTTGGGTATAGTTTCTTAAATCTGTGTTGCATGGTCTTCTTCAATTAATTGGTAATAAGTGAAACAATTAATTTTGCATTTTCTGAGTTAGCGAGGTCATTTAGCCCTAATATTCTTATCTTTATACCTCAGAGGGTAATGATGCATGTGTTATAGCATTTCAGTAACTCTAAAAATGAGATAAAGAGCTTATATCAGTTATCAGATATCAGTTGAAGAGGAAAACTACTGACAGAAGCTTTTAGATTATTACAAACATTATTAGCAGATTCCTTAGCAATATCCTGCTTTCTTTTCATACCAGCAGCAATTTAGAAAGTTTTACAGGACATTTCATTTCAAAAGGTCAAACAAGCTCTGATAAAGACTGCATGAGCCATCACCCCAGATAAAGTCAAAGTAAAATGAAGTGTATTATCCTTCTTTTTAAGTAGACCCCAATCAGCAAAGAGCACCGATTCAATATAACTCAACAATAACTGACCTTTCATTTTCTGCAGTTTTGGAACAAAGCTCCTCATTGAAACTAATCTTCATTTCCAGTGTTTCCCTGGATATGCTGAACATCAGCCATGCCAAGAAGGCTCAAGACCTGGCAACTGAGACCAATTATAGGACTATACTCCATGAATACACTACTCTGCCAACTGACATTAATGTTGCCTGGGCGAAGAAGGCTTATGGACTACAAAGCGATGTAAATCTTACTTTTAGGCACTGGAATGACCAATCATTTCATGCAAAAGTACTGCAGAATTTGATACTGATATGTGCGCACGTCTGTTTTCAGAAACAGTATAGGTCAGATTTGAACTGGATGAAGGGCGTTGGCTGGGAGGCCTCGAAATCTCTGGATGTCCTGCAAGCAAAGAAAGCTGGGGAGCTGGTCAGCGAGGTAATGTTTAATACTATGACTGACAAGGCATTGCTCCGAGTAGCTATAAAACAATCACTGTTAAATGTTATTAATATTTCCCCCTTTTTTTTTTAGTAAAAATGAGGCAAAAGTATTCTTTTTTTAGATCAGTCTCAATCTTCTTAGTGTTCAGTTTGGTTAGAGAGTTATATCACAGAAACTTCCAAGGTTTAAAATCATATCTGTTTATATATTTTTCAATTCAAGTTGAAGTTCATACTTTAAAATATGAGGAAATCTGATTTTACATGTTGAAAAACATAAAACTATAAAGCTCATCCAACATATCCAGGCATTCTTTCAACTATGAGAAAACTTGCTCCTTCAGGCCTATGGGCTAAATTTCCGCTCAGAAGTCCAAAACTATCAGGCTTCTGCTCTGTGGAACCAGGTCTCACTTTGAGTACAGGAGACATATAATTTGACATTATGTAATTTAGCATTTCTTGTTGCCCTAACTGATAAGTTCATGTGGATTTCATCTTAATTTGATAGCTACAGGGGTGGATTTTTAATTCGATTCAGGGCGTATAGCTCCCTGCTTCCTATAATTTCCAGATGCATAATGGGTGTTCTAATCTAATGAACCACGTCTTATGTTGAACTCAGGAGAGAGGTCTCTGGTTCGAGTCCGGATGCCCCCTACTTAGCAAACATTCTTGACTGTCATGCA